GGTTTTGTAGAAATAAAATGTTTTATATTAAAAATAAAATACATTTTTTAATAAATACTAGTTTAAGTTTAGAATTTTAATTTAAAGTATTACGTGTTGTGCGTGTACTTGGCGCACTTTTTTACCTTTTTTTAAAAAGGTAAGGTTTTTTCGGATTAAATATACACTGATTTTATTTTACTATCAAGTTCCGGGAAGTTACATTTTATTTAAAATATTTCCCACATATATATATATATATACATATATATATGCATATATAGTATACACATATATGCAAACGCATGTCAGTGAATCACGCGCTGATTGGCGCTTGATTTATTCAATAATTATTCCTTTATAAGTAAAGGAAAAAATTAATTCAGGACTTTTCGACTCAGGTTTCCTCCTTCTACTTGCCTACGAGAGATTTTGTCAGACACCCTGTATATATATGTATATATATGTATACAATGTATGTATATGTTTTAATGTTATTGCTTTTAGAAATATTGCGCCTAATAAAAGAAATATGAACTTGATGAAAAGTAACAAAAGAATTTTATTTTGTAAATGCTCGTTTTATTATAGATAATAATTTTGTAATAATAATATTGTTTATTTTATAAACAATACTACTTAATACAACTCGATATAGTTTTATTTCTACATACAGTTTTAAATTATATATATTATTATTTCTACATACAGTTTTAAATTATATATATATATTTTTATTGTGTTTTTTCGTATTTTGCGAATGCTCTATATATGCTCTATGTACGTGCAGGTTGCTATACTTTAATATATCGTAATATCGTTATGTACTAGAAACTATTGTATTAAAAACTTGATTTTATTTTATGAACATCTTGCTCGCATTATTAAATATAATAAAATCAGTACAATATTTCCGATTTTAATTATAATTAATAAGAATTTTTGTGTCACAAAATAAGATTAAACTTTTTATATAAAAGTAACTCTAGGTTTAAACTAAATGCACTAAAATGCTTTGGTTGTTTAATTAAAATTGCATTGTATTGTAAAAAGTAACCTTAGTTTTCCTTGCTTCTGTACTTAAGTATATCGTAAACTTTACGACAATTGTTATGATGCTACATTGTACTTAAGAATTTTCGACGAAATTGAGCTTTTTTTATAATGACGTCCAACATGAATAGTGCCTAAAAACAATTACAAAATTTATTTATCATAATACATTTTGTATATTTACGCATAAATGTTCAAAACATAAATTATAAGAAGTAACAAACAAAACCAAAGAAACAGTTTTGTATAAACATTAAATTTAAACTAAAAAAACGATAAGCATAAATACCAAACTAAATACTATTAAAATCATGATTAAAAAAATCAAAATACTATTTCGCATATTTTACAAAATCAAAATATACCGTGTCGTTGGTGTAATCGTGATTTAGCAGTTGTACAAAGAGCAATTTGGTGTCGGTGATATAAAAACATCGTATGATACTACTATTGAATGTAACGTGGAAAATTCATTATCATGATATTCTTTAAGTATATTACGCTATATAAATTACTAATATAATTATAATAATATTTCCATGCATATTAATACATATTCATAAAAAAGAGAAATATTTTACATTTATAGCAAAAGTAAACGCTTAGGTTCACACAACGTTATACCTTTTCAAGACTTCCATCTGAATATATGTGATTAATACAAAAACTCATAACGGCAAGTATGCTTATGTTTCTTTCAAATGATGCATACATACTAAATAATTAGTACAAAAAATATGTTAGTAGAATGACAATATTCTTATAAAATGACATAAAAAATAATGTATCAATTAAATACATCTAATATTGGAATGCTGATTATGTACAATAGATTATATGTAAATATACAACTCTAATTGGGAAATTGTAAAAATATTGCACAAAAATGGCATCATGAATAAGGACAATGATTGCAAGATGATTCGCAATAACGCAACAGTTTTATCAAAATAAATGTTTGTAACTAATATTTGCCAAAAATCAGAAAAAAGTCGTTATGCATTTTCATAAGCATATACATAAAGTAATTTCATTTCTTCATATGCAATTATATTTCTACGTGACTTAAACATGACATAACTAAAATTTTTTTCTCANGTATTGAACAATTTTTTTTTACATTTAATTGTGCAAATATGCTGCTAAGATGGTTTGCCATATCATTATTGTTTTGCCGGAAAAGTATTTAAAAATTAATTTTGCATACAGTTACAAATATTGTATACAAAATCAATGTTTTTACATTTCTTTCTCACAATATATCTATATAATTGCAAATCAGAAGTTTCATGCAAAAGATTTTTTCACATAATAAATGTTTTTTTATCGGAGAATATGTACATATAAAACAAAACTTAACAATTGTATATAGATAACTTTGTTTACCTTGAATATTTATCTTGTGTTTTGCTTATTATACTATTCGGTAAACAACAATCTTCTACATGTCTTGCAATAATATCAAAAAATATGGTAACGGAATCACTTTCTTTTAGTAAATTATGTTTTAGTGCAAAACCAAAAGATTCCACACTCTGATTCAGTCCAGAACAAGAGAAAAGGTGAAAGAAGTGTTGTTTTTTTTCTTGTGACAAGTAAATGTCCTGTATTTTATGCCACAACATCTTATTAGTTATAAGTTTTAACATCAATCCTTGGCAATACATCCAGTTCTGCCAACTTGGCAACAGTCTGCAAATACTTACAAAAATGTATAATTCTACTCACACAATTGTCATTCAAGTTGTGTTACTTTTCTTATGATATCGTAACGACGGATCAACACTCATGTCACAGTTGCAATATCGTTCATTATAATCGTAGAAGCAAGACGTCCTTTTCACATCTTATTCAAACATCTTTATATAAAAATATATGAAAGTATAATGTATACATCTATATAGTTTACATAAACAAATGTAATTCTAATTAGAAAATAATTTACTCTCGAGTATCTAGTGTTTTTACAATATCATAATACTGTATCAAGTCTCAGGTAACAGTCCGGTAATATGTATAATATATTAACAGTAAAGTAACGTTATACAGACGAAAAATAAAAAATCGTACCTGAAGTGTACAGGATTTTTTAAATGCCACTGTAATATAGCATTAATATGTTCTTTGCACTGTAAGCCACCAAGAATGCATGTCCATTTTAAAACTTCGTAATATACTTGATTACTGACAGTATTCTCGGAAACATTTTTATGTGATATATCTTTCAGAAAAATATTTAATATTTCTACAACGTTAGTCTATAAAACAAGTGTAACGTGTATTAATATATTTTGATTAATCTGTAAATCCTTAGTAAATTAAAAACATGTTTATTTAAGAATCATTGCATATCAATTATTGTTTTATAAAGTTACTTTACTAGTTACTTTTGTAAATTACTTTATAATGTTTTTCTGTCCGGTGATCAAAGACAACTGCAGAAGGAAACGTAACTTATAAACTGTATATTATAAAACTAGTTCAGTGAAAGTTTCTCTTTAGTTGCTGAGTAGGATTTTTTACTTTTGTTTTTTCTTAGTGCATTGGAAAAATATGTACCTTGATTTTTGCGTTTTTCGGTAATGGAAAAATCTTTGATACGTATTGAAGTGTTGTAAATATGGAATGCCACACTATGTACGAATTCTTTACGCGAACTACATTGCTTGCAAGATTGAAAAATATGTCTAAATTTTCACTAGTTGCAGCAGGAAGTACAGTATACTTTGTATTTTGTATTAAAAAATAAAACGCGTCGTCAAGAGTTTGTGCCAAAGTGACGTCAGTTAAATTAGATGCATTCCAAATCTTAGATTTTTCACTTTTTAGGAAGAGAGCAATATTTTCCAAAGATTTACGATCATAGTTTACACGATATCCTACAAATAAATGTTTAATAAAAATATTACAAATAAAAAAATTAAGAAAAAGAAAAACAAGAAATATAAATCCAATAAAGCATAAATGTTACGATGTTAAAAATTTCAAATATACTATAGAGACTAAATAAAACATGACAGTCATACTTTCTTTATATTGTATTACCATTTTGTCCCGTGATTACGATAAAATCATCTTCTTCAATATTCGCAACAAAAATACTTGTGCCGTCTGGTTTTAGGTACACATAATTAGTAGTAAACGTGTTTCTTGAAATTTTTACGTAGATTATAGGTATCCACCACTTGTATGCACACATGTTTTGTTGTTTAACCGTAACACAATCTTGAATCATAATTTCTAGAAGTTGTGTATCCTTCCGTTTTACTTGTACTATAGGATAACCATATTGTGTTATCCATGAAGTTATCACATGTTTTATATTTATATTCTTCAAATGGATGTTTTTATATATGGTTGGCACAAACGTTATATTGTTCCATATATTATCAAGAGTAAAATGTTCCTTATATGTCTGACTTGATGTACTACTATTGGTAACAACAAATAACAAACCAAAAATTACATCGAGTTTAGTTGTCGTAAACATACTGAATATTTGAAGAAGGTTTCACGTTACGTAGAAAATTATGCTTAAACGCACAATTTTTTATTTTAATGATCAATTTATAATATAACTCTAATACTCACGTGTTATACAAATTTATTGCTTTCTCAAAAATAAAGTCGTTTAGAACATTTTTGATACTGAATAAATTATTCATCATGTAGAAAATATTAAATCCTATAACGTAAATACGATGTGTGAAAATAATCAAATTATATGCACAAGATTTATTTTTATTAATGTTTCTAAATGCATAAGGTATCAATAATACCTCGATAACTGTATTGGAGGTTTAAATGACAATGTTTCTTACCTCTCTCTTTCCACATTTTATCAAAAGTTTCGTTTTTGAGAAATGAATTATCTTGTATTAAATAATGTTCAGTAAATGCTTGTGTATATTCAAAAATCATTTGTCGTGTTTGAACCACAATCGACATCAGTAAAGTCTCACTGTAAATCTACCAAAAGTTTATATGATTACGCATATGTATATTTTAGCTTCGTTATTTCTTTTTAGGTGAACTTAGTAATACAAAGTTGTATTACTAAATTTTTGGTATCAAGTATAGAAATCCTTCTAGTATAAGCAAATTATTATTACTAACATTAGTCAAGAAGTTTTGTGTATAATATAAACATTAAAAAAGCAATGTGACATTAACATATTTTACCAAAATGTCTGAAATCACTACATAATACATACTATTATTCTTCTCTCTCGGTTTGCATCAAATATCCATGTAAAAATTATATGATCATATAGGATTATATGTGAATCGGATACAATCTTGTATGATCGTGTGAACTTTTATATAAGGTAAATATGATTTTACATAAGTTGGATATGATTTTATGTAATCGTGTAAAATGAGATCCGAAGTTTGGCTCGATCTGATTTTATATGATCATACATAAATATAAGAAATCATATACGATCGTACATAATTTTATGTATTTATATATGATCATATAAAATCAGATCGCGCCAAATTTTGAATCTGATATTACGCGATCGCATAAAATTATATTTGACTTAGATAAAAGATTATACGATCATACAAAATTACATCCAATTTACATATAATCCTACATGTGATTACGTGATTTTTTATTTTATCTCGGGATGTAAAAGCTACCGATTTACAAATGCAAGTATTACCTGATCGACTAGATAAACTCCGTAAAATGTCAAAATTCTTTCGATAAACCAAGAATCAGACTGTTCAAGTTTAATTAACCAATCATTGAACGCTTCTTGTATCACACTGCGTGTAACCAAACATGTTACTTCTGTTTTTCTTCTTAAAGAATCAATTTCTTTATTGTATGCAATTTCAGCGTCTCTAAAAATAGTAGTGTCTTTAATGCATTTCTGTCCTTCACAGCATGTGGATATATTTGTTGTAAACTAATTTTTTGAGTAATATATCTTACCTGAAAAGGACAAGTCCACTAGTTACTATAGTTTCGTAGCTGTAGTTTGTTGAAAGTGCTATATACTGGACGTGTGAGATTGGTGTAACATCCCTTCTCTTGAGTCTAAGAAAATTCGTAATATGACTTATAAGACGTCGTGCGTATGAAATGTCGTTTTTCACTTGTAATCTGCTGTGTATGATAAGTGTATCTGATTTGAGAGTAAAGTTGGTACATTCAGAAGGTACGACTACTGTTGCTACGGCACAAGTGGATATTAAAGGTGTACGGAATGAAGTATATGTATAAACTTGAAATTTTTCCACTGAGTTATTACGTATATTTGAAAGAGCTGTTTCACTACTGGTATGCTTGATTCGAATAGTAAATATGGCTTTAGTTGCAAGATTGTTCCAACATGGAAATATCCATTCAGCGGGAATACGCGGTAATATCAAATATCTATAGAATGTAAAACGTTGTTGTTTTTAGTAATTTGTTCCTTAAAAACTTTATAATTTCTATTGCAATAATACAAAAGAAGAAATAATTTCTGCATTAGTATTTAATGCACTTACTTTTCTATTTTAGTTTCATCAGTAAATGGATAAATTCTCATAACTTTATCTAACCTGCAATTATATTTTGCAGATATCCACAATTTACGTTCATTTACTATTTGCTGTTGTATTCTAAAGTGTTCCTTATTATGGGTAATGAAGCTGATGTTCAAGGTTTTGAATCGATCGTCTGGAAATAATGGCAAAACTTTTGTTTCCCAAAATAAAGATGGAAATTAGAAGAAACATTAGTCATGATGTTAAGTTTTGGTTGTTCGCAGTAACGTCCGAAATAAACTTTGATGTTTTGCAGTGGACACTGAACGTTCAGTTTAACAAGAGAATCAACAATAAGAGAATTATTTTGTACTTCCGCAGAAATATTCATAATATATTCCATCGGTTCTATGCAGTGCGGAGAAAAATTCTCATCAACAAAAGAAGTAATTCCATTGACACATAAGAGGCATATAATTCCGAGAACTGTAAGCATCTGTGTAGTTATTATCTATAAAATAATTTTGTACAATAATCTTTTAAAATTATTTTAAACAAGAAATACACATGTTATTAAAATCACATTTGTAACACAAAAGTATTATATAAGAGAGAATTACTGATTGCTGTTTTAAATACATAAATGTCAAACATGATTGTATGTAATTGTGTATCTTTCTTTTTGCGTATGTTTTGTAATACCAATTTTTAGAGTTCATAAACTATTACCTAAGCATAAAGGAGTGTGTTTATCAAACGATATTCTACAGCTTCTTTATTTTTATTACATACACAAAATTATTTGTTATTGTTGTATGTTTTATCCGCCATAAATAATTAAAAACAAGAGTATAGATTGTGTTTTTGACAAATTTGATATTCTCCTAATAAAATCAATTTCGAGAAAATTGCTTGAATTTTGTAATGCATTTTAAATGAGATAAGTTGAATATTACGACACTGAAGAAAAATTATTACTACATTGTATATATCGATATATAACAAGTATTATATGCTAATAACCAAGTACTTTATACCAATTCCTGTATGCTAAAGATTGAACTGAATTAAAATTTCTTCTATATGCTAAAGATTTCTATATGCTAAAGAGTGATTTAAATTAAAATTTTTTAATTATATTTTTCGTTTAGAGTTACATTAACTATATAGATAAACTAAAGATTTCAAAGTTTGTAGTCCATCGGTGATGATTGGTGAAAGAAAGCTTTCATTCGTTTGATTTTGCACATGTTTGTGTTGTTTGTGTGACTTTCCTTGACATGGATGTTGACATGTAATCAGTGTCTTTTGAGATTGTAATGTACCTTACACATTTCTATAATTGTTATTATACTTTTTGTGATTACTTTTATTTTTACTTTGTAAAGTTGATTTTGCTTCATTTTGTTTATGTTTTAATAGTTTTAATATATTTATATGCGTATTTTTCTTAAGTTTCTCTTAAACGTTTGTAAATTTGGACAAAGTAAACTTATATATTTTTTACTTTGCACATTGTAGAAGTGGCTGATAATGATTACAAAAATAAAAGTGATCGAAAAGTTCATATCGTTAATTTAGAAGCACAAATCTTTCTTGTATCCACTACCACCTGTGCACTATCACTGCAGGCTTTGAAGTTCTTTCTTTTTCTCCCTTTCTTTTTCTTTCTCGTATTTTATCTATTACATATTTACCTTTAAGCTTTTTTATTCACTTAATCATTAACAGTATAATATGCTTTGTTGAGATGATAGGTCTATGTTATTTCAGTTTTTATGTTTTGTTTTGTGTTTGGTTAAATACAAAATTTATAGTATTCTTTAAAATATAAGAATCAATTTTTATTCTACAAAAAATAGCTTAATGACTTACCATCTTTTGTATAGTGATATTCAATGCATTGAAGTATAAATCTTGCAAAAAAAAGTGCAAACTGGTAATCAAACAAGATCGAAAGCGTATCTCGTGATCGTATCTGTGCGTTTTCGCCTCGTCGAGAAATTTCGGATAACTAAAGAGCAGTCCTTTCTGTGAAATACTGATTACACACCACGATGAGTAAGTTTCACGTGCCGTTCGCAACGCTCGTGAGCGTTATCTCTTTTTGTTTACTTTTCGATGAGAAAGAAGGATAAAATGATTCCATGAGAGGTGCGAACGGCAAGTGGAATTTACTTGATGTAAACGTATGTGTGGGGGTAGAGCTTAGACTTATATAATAAACGGTACATTTGTGTAAGAGAAGCTGAAGCTTCATTAAAAGAGACAGAAATAAAGCACGTCAGCGAACCACACGTCTGGTGTGCGTGAGCGCTCCGCGTGGCTCACTGACATGAGCCCAGCTAAAGGTCGGCGCTGATTGGCTTGAGTTATTCAATAATTACTCCTTTATTATATGTAATAGAAAAAAATGGTTCAGGACTTTTCGACTCAGTTTTACTCCTTCTACCTGCCTACGAAAGATGTTAAAGTAATTGTCGGACACCCTGTATAATAAACGGTACAATTGTGTAAGAGAAGCTGAAGCTTCGTTAAAAGAAACAGAAATAGTCGTAGAGTAGTTTTCTTCTTTTGTAGCAGAGAGTTGATTGGTGGCTGCGGCAAGCCGAGTGAGTAACCGAGAGCATTGAAGATAGCCGTCCGAGAGTCAGTTGAGAGAGAGTAATAGTGAGAAGTGTGTGATAGCATGCATGTAACATGTAGAGACTTGTTGAGAGACTTGGCAGGCGCTAACAATTAACACTAACAATTCATAAACCTTTTTATAATTTAATTTATTTCATACTTCTATAGAATTTAAGTTAACATATTTTTTAATGTAAATTTTCTATAAATTAAGCTATCTTTACATAACAACAGGTGTTTATGTGCTTTAGTGTAATCAAGTGTTGTTGTTTCTCTTTAAAAACATAAATAAAATAATAAAAAAATTATATCCATACAAGACTCGAACCTTTATAACCACTCGAGCAAACAAGTCAAAAGTAATGGCCTTTTACGTCTAAGGCCTGGTTTATGCGGGCAATAACTGTTAACTTATGCCGGAACCGGTAGAGTTTAACTATAGGATTTCAATGCTTCTGTTTATACAAAATTGCCGAATGCGTATAAACAGAAGTATTGGAATCCTATCCCAAGCAATCAACTGAGGTTGTATTGACATAAATATACGTGATTTTTGTCAGTAATTAGTGATTATGACTTAAATCTGACGTTATTTTGAATATCATAACAATGATGTCAGTATGTACGTCATACGTATACGTCATATATGATGTAACTATTGGTCTTTGGAGTGACGTCAGTTGAAATAAGTGAGTAAGACGTCATAATGACGTTATTTAAATAACACGGTTGTAATAAAATTTTGTTTTTGAGTATATATTTATGTATTATATGTAAGATCTCACATAGCACGTAATATTACGGAAATATCACAGTAAAATTGCAATATAGTAGGAATATTAGATATTATATTGTACAATACAATATTACAATAAGAAAATCAATATATTACATTTATAATACTGAAATAGTACGGTAATATTGTATTGCATCTTAAGTAGCAAAATATCAATAATAGTTTTTCTTATGTCTTATGAACGTTAGAGATGTCATTTAATGTTATTTACTATTACAATAATNTTATTTACTATTTAGCAAGTTGCATACATTATGTGTGTGTGTGTGTGTGTATTGTATCTTATATATAATATGATATATATATATTTTGCTACGTTCTTGTAAAAACCTAACAACTTTTAGTCAGGGGGGTATCCGGGGTTTTTCATATGTGAGATGCAAATCTAGCATCTCGTATGATTTTAAGAATTGATATTTCAATTCAAAAAATACTTGTAAAAATTTACAAGTATAATTCGTTACATGTATATATATATATATATATGTACACGCTTAGTTCCCGCACAAACATCCTGCGAATGCTCGTATCGGCCTTATATATTTCTGTTGCCTAACAACTTTTTTTTTAAACATAAATGCTTTGCTTTCAAAATGTGATATATAAAAAAAAACATTTTGTTTGTGTATAACATTTTTATTACATAATTATTATTATATAATAAAATTGATACATATATATATTTTTATGTGTACATATTTTTCTAACTCATTTGGTATATATTTATTAAAAATTGACTTTAATAATCATTACATGTTACCAAAAAAATTGTTTTCGCTGAAAAATGTATTTTAAATTCTATTTAATAATAATACTAATAATAAGAGAAATAATCTTATCCATTGTTGCAGGCATTTTATTAAAAATATTGCACTGCAATATTTGTAATTACTTATTAAAATTATTTTTTTATTACAAATATTGCACTGCAGTTAAACCGGTTCCGGCAAAGTTAACAGTTATTGCCCGCATAAACCAGGTCTACCTACTCCATAGTTAAATAAAACATGTGTGACCCTTTGTGATTGGTCGACCGCGTGACTTTTGATTTCCCGGTAAAAATATTGTTGATTATTGTGTTCTTTCGGATGGCACGTGCATGCTCACGTCTACGGGCTCGTTCG